TGAAGAGCCATGCGCCAACTGTCAGCGCAGGCGTGTCGAGTGTCGTTTTGTAGAAGGTGTGAATAAAGTCATTGTTACTGAGAGGTTCGTAGGTTATCCTATGTTAGAGTATGCGACATATAAAACTGACAATCGGGCCGTGAGGATGGATAGATATCTCCGAGAACTGCAAAATAGAGCCCGCAAACGCCAAGGGCAGGATACGGAGACCCAGCCGGACCGACAGTCGATTAAGCGGACCTCAGCATCGGCATTCGGATCGGATGCAGATATTGATGGTACGATGCCAAACGAGGTCTCATATGCTAATGCACTTTCAATCCTACTTGGCTAACCCTTACAAACTCCAAAGCGTCTCCGTCTGCAGATAATCTGACGCAGCTGTTCACAGCAAGGACGATATGGACTAGCCCATTCACGCTCCCATCGCGAGTGATAAAGAAGAACGATAGCACCAAGCGAAATTGGAGTACGTCTGTCGTCGCCAATACTGATCCCTTCTTGGACCTAGCTAACACAGTGAAAATACTAGCTTGGCTTGCCCCTACCTCAACGTGGTCGTTCACAGCGCGGTTGAAACTCATGATTGCGGAGAAGCTCCAGATTGTATCGCACTGCAGCGGACCAGATCTATTCGACGGCGACCTCTACCCAATCCACTGGAGCCCCCTTCCGGTGAATGAGCACCCTGATGTCAGCAACCTTCCTTCAATGGACTACGCACTCTACCTGTTTAATACCGTCAAATTCCATCTGGGACATAACTTCCGTCTACTCGATGAAGCCAACTTTTTGCACCACACCAAGGAGTTCTACCATGAAGACGCAGCAAAGGAAGCAAGCAAGAATCGGCTATGGTTCGTTCAGTTTCTACTAGTTCTTGCATTTGGGAATGCATTCTTGTTGCCAGTGGGCTATCGTTCAAGTAGCGACAATAAAGAGCCACCCGGGGCTAAGTTCTTCGTGAGGGCTATGAGTCTCATGCCCGATCCGACAACGTTATCACGCAGCGGGTTTGTGGCCATTGAAGTGCTCGCATTGACAGGGTTGTATCTTTATTGTATCGATCACCGGTCTTCAGCATACTCGTATGTGAGTCTACCCGATCACCAGATCAGATAGTACTGTTCTCCCCCATTCTCATGCTAATAGCTTTCCATCAGGTAGGACACGCCATCCGCATTGCACAGATGGACGGTATGCATACTCAACTGCCTGAAGACGAGCTCGGAGCAGAAACTGTCGCCCAGTCGAGGGATCTTTGGTGGACGCTATACGTTTTGGACCGTCACATATCGTCGTCAGTTGGTGCGTCCATGACACTCCAGGATAGCGATATCACCACCCTGCTTGACCCACCCGGGAGAACAACGCAGAGCAATGCTACGCTTGGCCTTCTGGTGAGGCTATCGCATCTTCTATCATATATTCTGTCAAGTATGATATGCCTCTCCCAGAAGAAAAGCCGAATAGGACTGAGCCGGCTGACATCTGAAAGCTATATACAAATGTAGTCAAACTCAGCTGGGGACGTTCCTCGAAACCACACGATCGATCTTACAAGTCCTTGCCAGTCAAGCCCAAGACATCGAGAATATCATGGAAGTGAAATTCCAGAACTCGGTGGATGCCATGTCGAAGGGAACAAGGCACGTTACGCTGCTATATCACCAGGTTTGTTTCCCTTCGTAACCACCAAGAGTACATTGCACTGATAAAAGCCGAATTACAGTGCGTAATAGTGGCTACGCGCCCACTGTTGCTATCAGTGCTTAAAGAGCGATTAGACCGATTAGGTCACGGACCGGAAGACTGGCAGAGCATTGTGGCCCCGACCGATGGTCTGATCTCGGCAGGCATCAAGTCGGCAATCAAAACGTTGCAGATACTGAAAGATGAAGACAATCTACTCGGTGGGTTCAGGCTCTTCTAAAGCAGTTCACGCAGATTATGAAGTCCAATTGATCTAACGCACTAGACCTAGATGTCTTCCTCCCCTTCGACATGGAGTTCACCTACGGAGCAGCAATGCACATCGCCATGGCCAAAGCCGTCTTTCCCAACGTCACCGAAGGTGAAAATGAAAATTGCATGAACGATGTTCACTTGATCCTCGACCAAATGATCCAGCGTGGAAACAAGCTCGCGGCAGCACGAAAGTCCGAACTTGCACAGCTTGAAAAGCTCTTCCAGGAAGTCGCAGACCGCATCGAGCGGCGGGGCCTTGAGACACTCACCCTGCCCACATCTTCAGCGGCGGTGCCACCGCCCTCCGAGCTGGGCTCCGAATTCATGATGGCGGGACGTGTCGACCGTCCTCAAGACTCGGCAGATCTGGCAGCTTGTTCAGTGCCTCTGAACTCGGTACCAGGGTCCCCATCTGTTCTGGCTCAAGCTTCTAGCCTCGGCTTTTTAGATAGTATTGGGATTTCCTCGTACGAGTTCTTCTCGCTGGTAAATCAGATTGGGCAGACAGAGGGGTGTAGTGTTTTGGATGCAGGTGCGCCACCATGGGATGGATCCATGTAGGTCGCCACGATAAGAAACTGCCAGAAAGTCTTTGCCATTATTCTTGAACCGAATTTGCGTCTATCTGTAAAGTATAAATCCCCATAGGTTCATCTATATCTCTCGTGGCCGAAGCGATTTCGGAAAATCTACCCACACAGTGCTACCTCTACTGCCAGTGTATGTCTCTGCTTGATTTCAATACTGAAGGTAGAAGACTTTCGGACATTAGTGTCCTACTCAGTCCGACAGTTGTAGTTGTAAATACCTGAATAGAAGCGACAATCAACCCGCACAATCGGATTCGAGCATTCCAGCTATAGAATCCCTCGCGTTCGCGACTCCACCGATCGGGTTCCCCATCCGACGGGCCCGCAGCAACCGAGATAACCAACAATTGTCGCCTCCCCACCATCACTGCCAGCGACAGGATAAAGTTTAAACGAATCATTCTTTGACCCTCCGTCCACAGATGACTATGACAACTTAGGACTTTCTACAGCAAAATCATCACATTGCTGGTCTGTATATATCAATACCAATTATCCCCTGGGCTGTGTATGGGAGTAGAGCTGCAGGTGGGTCTAGCGGCCGTGTCGGGTTCTAAACCCGAGACTAGACATCGGTTTCTAGATACTACCGACGAACCCGAGCCGAGATGCTTCCATCGTTATTTGTTGGTTGGAGTCAGAGCTGGGGTCTCTCGTATAATCTACATCCACGCTTCCGATGCATGTTTACGGAGCATGCTAGGGAAAGCGGGGAGGCAGGTGTGTCAGGTCAAAATGTGTGATGGGGATTGATCCGATGTTCTGTATGTCTGTGTTCGAAGCCTAGCGGGGTCTTTAGTATTGAAGGTTGTAGGTAATTCCCGCCTTTTCGTCCTCGGGGAGCTCGGGGCCTGGGTGTGGGTTATTGTAGATAGGAAAGGAATTCGGGCGGTCCTGTGATGGTGCCTGTTCAGTGGTAATTAGAGACTTTCATCATATGCTACTCATTGCTTTTGGCCATGCTGTCTAAGGTGGAGGTGATCTAATAGCGATAGAAGTTGGTAAGCCGTTGCTCTCTTTTTTGTGCGCCAGATACCCCTCATTTCGGGAATTCATCTGAGGATTAGATGAGAGACAATTAGACGCAGTAGCATTGAAAGTAGGTATTGTGCGGGCAATTTGTCTACAATACTGATATAGAATCTCTCAGACCCATAGGAGGTCTACAAGGATCAGCAGGCACTACCTGAAAAGATAAGCGAAGTATGATCCTGCACACCCGCTGCATATCCACCTGTTTAGTGCCAACTTAGCCAAGTGACTACCAGATTGAACCCTATTGAATGAGGCTCCAGGTGCCTTTGTTGAAGGGTGTCTTGGATAGCACCAAATAATTGTTATGGTGAGAAGGGGTCAATGCTTGTAACTGACTAGTAACAGTTCGCCTTGGGTATTACCAGGGATGTAAATATTTGGCAGCTGACACTGGTTGTGTCTGATCAAGATGGAGGGGATGTGCCTATTCTGGAGCGGGTAAATCCTACAGAATGCGCTAGATCTCAGCTCCCGAGGATATCTACGGATCAACATAGTGGACTAATAGACTCATGGGATAATGCTTGCACTGTGTGCAATTGGAAATGCTACGACGGTCTACACTCGTCGATGGCCCTCGCGTCGGGCGAACAACGCGGTATCTCGGTCCGCTACCGATTACGCCTGTACCGCTGGCCCTATCTTTCCGTGATCTTGATCTTGGATGTCACTCCGCCTACCACTGTTTAGCTATGGAAATTGACTAGCGGTAACTGCGGCACTCTCGCTATTTCCCTCGCGCATCAGCTTCGTGCGTCCCTATCAGTCCATGGCGGGCTATCCCACTGGCATGGATCATGAGAACAGAAGACGTAGGGAGGACTTCGAAGCTGATAGGCAAAGCAGCTGCAAGACTTGCCTCTATCCTGTCGTCACGATCTGTGGCTTCTTGTGGTCCTTTGCTCCTTCTGGAAAATCTATCCCGTATAGAAATCCATTGGCCAAACCAGCCCGGCTCATGAGTCTAGATCCGAGCCGATCTTGGAAGGGATAATCAGCTGGAATCCGGTTTGCTCTTCCGATTGATCAGCCGGCATTATCGGGATGCAAGACGTGCAGGTCTTTCAGCATACAATCATGATTGTCTCCCGACACCATTAATGACATTCCGGGAATAGTGTTCAGGAAGTGTACGTTCATTGGTTATCTGGAAATGCTATCTCCTATCTGGCGCTAGAGCAGATGCATGTTATGCTTCCCGTGACGGCTCGGGTCCTAAGCACTCCGCTCAACATACCCCGGACTTGGCATTCCAAGGCTTCATTTGGAACTATAAGTATCGAGACGACATCGCAGTTAGAGACGATTTCTATAACTCAACACAATCAATCGCACTTGAATCAACACTGCCATTCATCGTCTAACTCTCTACACATATTAGGATCATATCCATCCACAACCTACACAATGGCCCCAGCAGCCCTCGTCTCAACCTACACCCCACCCCCTGTTTCCGGGCCCAAGACCAAGAAGGCCACACGCCCCGCCAAAAAGCTCCCTCAGTCCCTTATCGAAGGCGCTAAGATCCCCCAGAAGCGCACCTTCGACCCAAGCGAGCACTTGGTCTTTCAACCCCCGGAGAAGATCCACAAGATGGCCGACTTCGGCCTCGAAAAAGCGGGCATCTCTCCCAACGCTATCTCAGAGCCTTTTCGTCTGTTCACGGCCGAAGCAATCAGACAAATGCGCGCTGAGATCTTCAGTGAGCCTGTGCTGAAGGATTGTCAGTATGCAAGCGATTTCTGCGCAAGCATGGTTAGGGGCATGGGACACAAGTAAGCATACACCTTTCTGGACATTCTAGCCCTATCGAACTAGACTAATGATCATAAATAGGCGAGCCCCCTTCACGTACGACGTATGGAAGTCTCCTGAAGTCCTGTCCAAAATCTCCGCTATCGCCGGCATCGACCTAATCCCAGCCCTCGACTTCGAAATCGCAAACATCAACATTGCCATCAAGGACGACGAACCACCTTCGTCCCAAGCCAGCAACTCCTCTACCAAACCCCCCGGAGATGACGATACCCCGGCATTTGCCTGGCACTACGACTCCTTCCCCTTCGTCTGTGTAGTCATGCTTTCCGACTGCACCTCCATGGTAGGCGGCGAAACAGCTATCAGGCTCCCCAACGGCACCATCAAGAAGGTCCGTGGTCCCGCACAGGGCTACGCGGTTGTCATGCAGGGTCGGTATCTCGAGCACCAGGCTTTGAAGGCCCTTGGCGGCCGGGAGAGAATCACGATGGTGACGCCGTTCCGGCCTAAGGACGCAGAGGTGCGCGATGAGATTCTGCTCACTGGTACTCGGGGAATCAGCAATCTGGAGGAGATGTATCCCCAGTATTTCGAGTACCGCATGGAGGTCCTTGAGGAAAGGGTGCGGGCACAGCGCAAGAGGGAGAGGGAGAGGGAAATTACTGGACGGCCGTTTAATGTGGAGGAGACAAGGAAGTGGGTAAAGGAGCAGAGGGATTTTTTGGATAGTATTCTGAACGACATGATTGTAGTTGAGTAGGAAATGGGTGTTGTTGAGTTTGTTGTATTACGTTCGAGCGAAGCGTGTGGTGACGTGGTCAGGATGCATGGAGGAAGATGTCCATCTATGGTACTCCGGTTTGTCTTTATGACGTCCACGTCAGAATACGATGCTATTTGTTCTGAATAAAATCAATATATCTATGACATCTGTGATGGTAGCGCCTCAGGAGTTGATAAGTCACCCTTGGACCTTACGCCGTCAGCAATTCCTCCAACACATCGGTAGGGGTCCGTCTCGGAGGAGCAATGTCCAGAACCTCCTTGCTGGTAGTCGAAGCATTGCACTTCCCTTCCCACATGATCAACAGGGCATTCTTTATTGACTTGACAACAGTCATGGATTGACCCGATCCTTCATATTGACTGTCCAGCATTGCATCCAAAAGGCTGAGATCTTGATACGCCACTTCCTTCACCTTTGTGCCAATACGCTGCTCCACTAAGCCGACAAGCTGTTCGCCAGTAATATCTTCCGGCCCATTCAAGACATATTTCGCCCCGCTGTGTGGGCTCGGATCATCCAAGGCCAAGAGATGCGCAGCAAACACACCGACTTCATCCGGATCGATAGGCGCAACAGGGGCATCTTTAGATGCCATCAACTTCAGAGGGCCTAGTTCGCCATTCCGCTCGAATCTGTTGATGTACTCAGCGAGTACGGTCATATAGAAGCTTGTAAACACGTTTGGCTGAAGAGAAGTCCACTTCAGGGCGCTGAATTCCGCCGAACCAAGCATCGCCTCAATAGCCCAGTGCGTGCGCGGATAGTAAGCACCGGAATCCGGACGAACATTGGGTGCGGTGGTGGAAATTCGCACAACGTATTCGACACCAGCTCCAAGGGCGGCGACGTGGAAGGCAGACTCTTCGGCAAACTGGTTTGGTGCGTTGTGAGAGGCGATGAAGGCCCTGACGACTTCATTTTCTCGGAGCCAGTCCGAGGTAATCTCGGTCCAGTTCTGCTCGATAATTCCGACACCGGGGATTTTTGCAAGCCGTTGGGCCGAAGAGCTGTTGAAAGATCTGGTCAGGGCGAGTACTCGATGGCTCTCAAAAGCCTCGTTGGCTTTCAGAAGGGTTGGCAGAGTTTCTGTCACGGCTCGGCCGGTATTGCCTGTTGCGCCGACAATGAGGATAGTTGGAGCCATGATGGTAGTTAAGTGAGGGTTGTGTGGATGAATGATACTGTTGAAAAATAGATACGAGGATCATCTTCAGGGTATTTATATTTCGAAGTCATCGCATTATATCATACATGATTACTATTACGATTAGAAATTGGGAAGTTTATTTGTGAGCATCCCTTCCAAGTGATCTTAGAATCGGGTGGAGGCTCCGGAGGTGGGAGGGCCGAAATGTCGGAGCTCCCACCCCGTGCATATGTAACCAGTACTTCGGAATTAGTTGTTTCTCCTTTCTCTGGTCACTAGGCGTGAAATTGAGTGCATAAGAGTGGATAATATCCAACGATATAAGAAGCTGCTAGGTGTCCTGCGCCTACTAGTAGTCGGAATGGGCTCGAACTTTCCCTTCTCACATACTTAGATCCTACACCATTGATGTGTTTCAATCATGAATCCAAATGTGTGGATATTATATCCTCGTGTTAATTACATAGTGGGAGTGGGAACGGATAAATGAATCCGTGGTAGTCTGGAAAAGACGCGTACGACTGTAGTATATGTGGTCCCCGAGCGTTTTCTATCTCAGAAAATAAAGTATCTGCGACCGGCGCAACGCAACTGGAAGCAGACTCAGAAAGCACGCATTGAACTAGTATTCAATAAGACTCACTGAGTGGTTCATTCCGGGGGAAATCCAGGGTTCGATAAGTCAGTTCTAACCTTTTCGGACACACACTGACTAATCGTGCCATTATGGGTGGGCCCGAACGAGAGGAAGCAGTCCCCTCAACTCCGTCGTTGTACACCCTTTACTCTCTGAAGTCTCCAGTCAAAATAGCAGCATGCCTCCTAGGTTATACTGGTGCCAAGTGCCTCATTGCAAGGCAAGCTATCGGCGGAAAGAACATCTTCGTCGCCACGAGGCCCAACATACCCAAGAGCAGCTTCGACAATGTCCAGCTTGTACCCAGAAGTTCAGGCGGAGGTACAAAAGGACTCTCGCCATTTCAATATTAATGTGGGGAAAGATTGCTAATTCCGCGATTCAGCGATACGTTACGGCGACACATGCAAAATATACATGGGGTGAACGACATGCCCGACATCAAACATGCTTGCGCCCACTGCCGGAATCAAAAGTCTCGATGCCAAGGAGGACCACCATGTAAGAATTGCTTGCGCCGCGGAATCCACTGTTCCCTTGAACGGCGGGTGGGAGCACAGCAGGTTGATCACCGGCGTGACATTGCAAGGATGTCTCAATCGCCTCCTATCCGACCTGCGAAAGACGACTCTGATCAGGAAAAACATTTTATTAGCATATATTTCAACACATTTCATCCTCGGTGGCCTTTTGTTCATCGAGGGTCTTTCAGTGATCATGAAGCACCATTATTGATCAAGTCAATGCTTGTTCTCGGTCTGTGGTTGAGCAAGGAACGAAAAGCCCAGGCGAAAGCCATTGACCTGCACAATGTCTTGGGCTCAGCCATACGTCAGCAGACTGTACGTAGGAATCCCTGGCCTGATTATAACTACGCCAGCTAACGTCCAAGTCAACAGGAGGCATGGGATGCCTCTGTAGCAGATGCAAGCAGTACTTGTAAATGGCCCATCGCCACATATCAGGCAATCCTGCTCCATCTAATATTCGCCGCTTTATATCGGGGCGGTGGGGAGCTCGACCTTGACCTGAAGCCTTCCCTTGCTCCTGCAGATTCTGACCTCCTAGAAAGGCTTATCATAAGCTGCAAGAAGCTAGGAATATTTTACTACCCAAACATACTGCAGCATTATTGCAACAGTATCCTGCCTGGATATACATGGGTAAGTGTTGAGGAGGTGAAGAGGTTCGATCTAGCTTTATTTAGAGTCTGTGGAGCATTTGGTATCTCAGGTAAAGGGGAGGATAGAATGAGTAACTTAGACGGGAGGATCCGTGCATGCGATTTACAATTTCCACCACCCAGGAATACGCCGTTGTGGAATGCTGTAACGAAAGAAGAGTGGGAATCCGCAGCAACAGCGGATATGAACCGCCATAGCCTGGATGACCCTTTGCCTCTACAATGGATCTCTAATTCTGCAGAAATTGTGGAAATCATTACTACTGGGTCTCCTGCATTTCTTTAATTACGGAATTCATAATTATGGATCGTCGCACAACCAAAGGGCTGAGATGATAGAGTATGAAGTTCAGACCTGGTAAATGATTATATGTAAGAACATTGTTCACATAGACTATATCCTGTAATTGTACCCAAGAAAACGAAGCGGTCGCAACGTATCTTCCCCAACAATATTTTGTCTCATCTGCTGCATAGAATGATAAAGATACTTGAACTTGCTTCCGGTGATTTAAGGTGGAACATGATGGGTGGTCCAAGTGTACCGCATCTAAGAGAGCACACTACTTGAAGAAATTTAAAGATTAAATCCAACGGGCCTCCATATCTGGTGTCAATGACTATTATTAATGTCCTAGAGGGAGGCATACTAACAAAGATGAGATACTAATGGTGTTGCTTCTTCGATAAAACAAAACGAAAAGACAATCAAGTCCTAGTCATCCCACAACCGTCCGTATCTCCAAAGCCAAAACTCTTCTGTCAAAGTGCGCCATCGCCAACTCTGTTATCAGCCTTCCAAAATCTAACCCGAGCTCCGGCTGTCCATATCATCCAAGTAGTATGACCGGCCCATCATCAGTCCAACTGAGTGGTATTAAACAAACGATTACCGGTGTCGGTAGTTCCCTTTCCAGTGTACTTGTTCTTCGAAACCCGGAGAGCGACAATGGTAACCTCCATTGATCGCGCGACAGCACGAATGGCACTCCCGCCTTTGAGGGCCTGGTCCTGCACGGCGCCAGCAACAACAATGACACGAACGGCAGCATTAATCTGTCTAATATGTTGCAGGAACTCCACGATGGACTTGCCACTGTTGATAACAGAGTCGACCAAGATCACAGTGACGATGCCCTTGAGATTCTCCCTCTTCACGTCGTGGGGGAACTTGGCGTGCAGGAGCTGGGCAGTTGGAAAGACCTCGTTAACACCGTTTGCCATAGGCAGCCCACCGCGCATCAGCGGCACGATCAACGTCTGGCCTTCGTTGAGAAGCCGGTATCCGTCGATGGATTTGTTTTGAGGGTGGCGTACGGGGAACGCTTCAAGCCCGATGATCTCTGCCAGGTATTTTGTGGACAGATAGTGAGCAGCCTTCTTATGAGCATCCTGGAGGGCCGGCCCGCGGATGGCGTCGTCTCTCATAGGAGTACTCAACAACTTAGAAGCGTTATCATCGGTCGCGTGGTAGAATCGAAACCAGCGGCGGAAGATCGAACTTTGGATATTTTCGTCTTCTAAATGGATCACAGGGAGTATGTTCAGGTCAAGCCGTGGTTTCAGAGTATTGTAGGGCAGCAAGGCCTGCCTAGCCTGCAGCCCATCATTGAGGATAGCATCACGTAAAGCGCCATCCATGCTCTTGCTTCGCGTTTGTTCTTTACCCACCACGACAACCGCCTTGTCTGCAGCCAACATCATCGGCAAGTCAATAGGGCTGTCCCCGATCGCCCAGGTGTGGGCTCCATGGACTGTTTGAGCACGAACAACTAAACTTCTCTTCACCTCAGGGGTAACCACCAATCCGTCGTCGATACGGCCACCACCGATGACTTTAACGACATTAGAGAGCCCTTCTCTCTCAATGACTTTCTCCCAGACCAGACGCAGGCCGCTGGTGGCGATAACGGGACAAACGTGTTTGGTGTTCGACCGCCGTTTTGAGAAGCAGGGCAACCTGGGGATAGAGATTGATTTCACTTGCAATATCGTCGCAGATAGAAGAGAAGTCATTATCGCAGACCTGATCTTCATAGTACATCATAGCCTGTCTGAACGCGGCATACGTATACCCCATCTTGTTGAAGAGCCGTCTTAGCGGATTATGGACGCCCTTAAAATCTTCCAACATCGTCCAGAAGGTTTCGCTGGTGTCGTCTTCCGAGAGCGTCTTGTCTGCATCAACAAACAAGACAGTCTGAACGTCGTCACCATGGTCAGAGAGAATCTTGTCCAAACGATCATTGGCAACAGCCATGTTATATCCCTCATCGTGACATTGAATGTCACGAATGAAGGTCGACAGCTTACAGCTCAAACCGGACCAAACATGAGCAAACATAATGTTTTTGTCCAGGCAAAGAGAAGAGAGCTCTTTTGTCTCATAATTTTGCCACTCGCACAAACGACTCTCCGACACACTTGGTCGTAGTCTCTCGGTATCCTTTTTTCGTTGTTCGGTAATCATATGCACCGGAGTATTGAGGTACAAAATATGAGTGAAGGTATCCAAGTCATCCTCAGTGACGACCTTCATGGGGTGGTCACATCTTTCGTCGTCCCAAAAGCTGAGGTGGCCGGTAACGATCCCAACTTTCCTGGTCTCGCTGCAAGTTGACTTGATCTTCTGAACAGCCCGCTTGCGATACTCGGCTTTTTCAGACTCGTCGAGCTTTTTAAATGCATCCAGCCCGCCAGTAATTACAGAGGCAATGACCTCGGATCCTTCAAAAAAGGCAAAACGCTCCTCACCAAGCTGCTGGTTCAGTTTGTTCATTAGAAAAGTCTTGCCAGCCCCCGGCACCCCGTAGAGTCCGATGACCTTGGGGGCGGCCACCGGGGGACACATGGGTGCCACGGTAGGACACTTCTCGTCTTCTGACGAGGTGGGCATCTGCATTGTCGAATGAGATATAATGAAAACAGTCTAAAGCTGAAGGGAAGTAGAGACGAAGGGAGGTATGGTCGGATCTGGATAAAGGGCTATAGATAAGAAGAATTGTATGGTGTACCAATAACGTGTGAAAATGAGATTTCACGCCTCAGGTCGTGAGAGGTACCAGTAGAAGGACAAAACTAAATTTGGGGTGCTGGGGGATTTTATAGGCAAGGGTATCGTCGGTGCCTAGGTTCACTCAACGACAAATCCTTTTCATTAACAGTCTCGGCGCTGGAAATGTCTGGCTCGTTGAATATAGGGGCTCCGGGTCATTCCACGAAGCTACAGTTGACTGTTGCATTGTTGTCATGATTGAACTGTGAATGGAGTCATCAGTGTTTTCAATAAGGTACCTCCCATAGTCAACTCAATTGACTTCTATAGGTGCTTTTTAGCAGATGTAGTGCTCTTATGCCAATGTTCTGTATACAGAGCACCACATATTGGGCCCGGAACCCTTTTCCCTGCATAATATGGAGCACCTTTATATAGTATCCTGATATATGTGTAATTCTTCTGAGCGCCGCATCACAAGAGACGAACAAATATAATGCTCTTATGCTGTTGTTATGTATATAGAGGGACACACATCGGGTCCAAAAGCTTTTTCCGAGCACAAAATTGGGCGTATTTATATATCCAGATATACTTGCAATTCGTCGGGAGGTCGCACCACAAGGAACAAGTATAACAAAGACCACCATCGCATGGCAAGGATACAAATAGTCAGCCCTGACAATTAATCGTTATCATTCCCATTTCGCGTCAAATTTCTGGGCCAAATTATGGATTTTCAAGCAGCTAGAAATCTCAGTCAGTATGGATCACAATAGCTTCACCACAGGAGTAGTATATCACTCACCACACTATCCAACCCCGACACAAACATAGATCAGGGAATAACTGGCAATGCCCATAATAATAATCTTCCAACTCTACCGAATTTTGCCTAATCTATGCAATGTCTGTCTGCAACTTCATCCAATTTCGTCCCCTTCCTCGGATTCACCACCTCTCTAACGCCCCTCCAGTCGTGCTTTCCGGCGAAATACGCAGCCACGCGATAGAAATACCATCGCGATGTGAACTTGCCCAGCATATAGATACTGGCTAATATACGTCCGCGACCAAGCAGGGCGAAAAGGGATAGGAAATCCATCATGTTCGGCGCGAGATATTGTGAATAGTACGTCCGAGGTCTCGCTTAGTCGGGCCAGGGGTGTAGTTGCCTTGCGCCGCTCGGAAAGCCCTTCGATGAGGCGACTTTTGTGCCAGGTAATGTTGGATTGGCGGGAGAGGTTAAGGAATGTATGCCATTTTTGGCGTAATTTGCTTGACATTCTGGTCTTGTCGCATTCATGCTTCTCATGAACAAGTCGAGGATGAGATACGGGTAGCGGAATGGTGTTTGGAATGAAAGAGTGTCTTTGGTATGGAGTGCTATGGCTTATAATACCTGGCTAACGTATGAAGGAAAGACTGATTCGATTGTGTTTGGGATCTTTCTAACAAGACAGTGCGAAGATGATGCCCTTATATACGAACCAGGGCGTATCGGATTAACTGATCTTTTCAGAACCTTCCCTATCTAGTGCAGGCAAGCTCCGTGAACATTGCCCACAGTGATTTAATTACGTAGTGAATGTGCACTCAATGATACCTTCGATATTATGCACTACTAGTATTCATTGGCTCCTCCTTTGCTGCTTGTTTCACTGGATGCGGGGTTGAGCATTCCCCAACCCCACCTCAGTTCACCCCATTTCACTTCATCTGTCTGTCTTTGTTAAGGCTGTCATTACCAACCCCATCCTCGACCCCACCATCTTTCTTTACAAATCCTTATCCAATTTCTTTATACTTCGCTTGTTTGTGAAGGGCTAGCTAGCTATTTTGAGTTGCCTAAAAGGAAACAGTATCCACTCTACACCACACATTGGGAACGGTATGCCTTTAGCGCCCGAACTTCAACAATTCATCCTCGGCTTCAAAGACCGGTGGGACGGGTCAGTGAACACTGCTTGCCAGGACCTTTTTGAGGCCCAGCACTCATCTGCTGGCCCACTGAATCCAGATCATCCACTTCAGTATGAGAAGAATGTAAAGTATGGCCCAGATCCAAGGCATCGCTTGGATGTATTCTGGCCAGCAGATGCTACCGCAACAAACGCAGCTCGGCCTGTTGTCGTCTACTTTCATGGCGGTGCATTTAAGCTGGGCGACAATTCTATTACTCCGCACTTGCACGCAAATATCGGTCGATTTTTCGCATCCCAGGGTATGATCGGCGTCTTGGGGACTTATCGGCTACTGCCAGAAGCTCGATTCCCAGACGGACGGGACGATGTCGCCTCTGCTTTCTCGTGGTTGCATGACAATGTGCATCTGTATGGAGGCAACCAAAATGCCATCTTCGCGCTTGGTCAAAGTGCAGGTGGGGGCCACCTCGCCATGGCGCTTTTCTCCGGAAACCTAAAGTCGGACCAAGGACAGAGCCTGGTGCGCGGCGTCCTACTTCTCAGCGCGGCGTTAAAGTATGACCTAAGTAAGAAGGGTCGACGCGAGAGCATGGAGCAGTATTATGGAACGACGGACCATAGTCTTATTCAATCCCGATCGGCGTACGGTATTCTCCAGAATTTGCCGTCCGTTGAAGACGCGGATGTGGCTTCCGTGCCGACACCCGAGCTGTTTTTAATGCTGGCGGAATGGGATTTCGAGGAGTGCGTACAAGGAAACTTGGACTTTGCGAGGCTGTATGCTGAGCGTCGCCGCCGTCTTCCTCGCTTTGAGGTGTTGCCTGTTCATAATCATGTTAGCTATGCATTGTCTATCGGCTTGCCAGGAGACGAGGTTGGACCGAAGATTGCAGACTGGGTGAGGCAGTGCTCAGAGGGGGCTTCATCATAGACATCCATGGCTTCGGTCTGGATTCGCTTTTACTTCCTCGGTATTGTAAATCGCCCATAGTCAAGACCTAACCGCATCTAACCAGTGCATGCGCTAGGTGGGAAGATTAAACTTCAATACTACTATCTTCTACGATAGGCAGGGACATTGTCCGGAAGGAAACAGGGCCTAGTATAATTACTTTTTTCTTCACTACTAACTAATGTTACGTATTGAGAGTGGCCAAAATACCTGATGATTACTCGTTCAGGTCCAAAAATACTAGCAATACGTATATCTGGATGTTATATGCCACCGACCCTGCTCGGATAGTATATATTTACCCATAGGGCACGCATTATTGCTTTAGATCCCTTGATCACTCAGCTGAGGTGTACAGCGGTGCTTCATGTAACTGATATCTTCTTTATATGCTTATGTCTTTCGCACTAGTACGTAGTTCAGGGAAGCAAGTGCGTTTTATCCACAACTTTTTTCCTTGCCGACGGTTGACAGACAAACCCAACGGAAAACTCATGGGAAGCAGTTCGAATTTGGGCTGCCTTGCCAATGTTTCGATATAAAACGCTGAAATGAGCTTATCGTTTTTGTAGCTTACTGTTGGCTTCGATACTGTCTTCCCCTTGGCTTCTCTCTCATCTTCATCTTCCTTTTCCGAGTGGTTTCACTGGCCCGCTTAGTCAAGAATGGCCATCGGGCATTCGCGGCCTATATCGGAGCTGGATCACCCCAGCTCAACAAGTTTGATGCCGCCTGTATTTATTTATTTATTTTAAATTTAGTTTATTTTTTTCCCTTCTTTTCTCTTTCATATTACATATTTGTAAGTACAGAAAGGGGTGGGTAATAGGTGTCAATTAGAAAGTTAGGGGTGACGGGGTGGAATTTACTGGAGTTGATGTGTTGGCTACAAATATGATATATTACGCTGTTACTAGTTACTAGTTACTGCGACAGAGGGGTGTAGTTCTTGACAGCCATCCGGATCATATCTCGTCAAGTTGCTCTTCGTTGAAAGAGTCAGAGTTAATTGAATTAGGCTTGTTCTTTAGATACAGATTGAGTCCCTTTTTTTCAGTTCTCTTCGATCGCAATTAGGAAATACATCATGTAAGGTTTTGTCGTCAACGGCACATAGGTTGAGCAATCCGATGAAATATCGTCACGTCTATTTGTGCTCTGCTTCTCAGCTTGAAAGAGATTTGGGTATACCAAATGGTTTTCGGTTTCAGCCCTACATCCCGAGCTAACGTGATGCTAGATTCGGCCTGCTGTTGTGGAGGTGAACCGCCGAGAACTCAACTCAAGAAATACACTCCACAGGAGCTAGGCTTGCCACGCTATGTGGAGCATTCACGGAAGCTTGTGGGTTTTGGACAGAATATTGACCATTTGGACGTCTGTAGTCTGCTTCAAGGTTATGACATGGAAGCCGGACTAAGCATAGATCGCTGTTGGAACATCGGATTCATCCACCGGCCCATGGTTGCAGAAGAAGTCTGATACAATCAAGTTATGACAGTTCACAGGATAAAACTATAGCGGTAGTAGCAGTATGGACGAGAACGTTCTTGACTTCCCAATGCAATCAATTGGTCCGCTGGTCGTGCGAATGAAATGCTGTATCGAGTGTAACACCAAATGCCGGCTATGACACGTCCATTTGGCACCTCCCGGCAATGGTTACCGTCCTACCAAAACTGAAAAGCGTGGGATGGCAGCACAAAATGAACATAAAAGCATCTTCTGGCAGAATAATCCTGCAGCGAAATCAGTCAATTTGCTTCACCTGCGTTGAGCCACGCTGCATCCGGTCATTCCAACGAGCCCTGGCAGTTCCTGAAGCCTCCTGGGCTTCCTGAATAGCCCATAATGGCCTTCTCAGCCCTTGCATGGACGGCGGCAATTGCCCTTCCAGCTGTCTTTGCGCAGGATAGAGACTCCGACCGGTCAAAATCCCCGAAAATAGCTCCTCGGATGCAACACGATTCACACAACACGACACACTGGCCCACTAGACCTCTTCCTTGGGGCGAGATAAATTTCATTCA